AATGAATGCTCTGCATCAACTAGGCACAAGCTGAGGAAGAGCCTGGCCATTATTCCCACCCTAAATATGGCAGTCTTGATAGCTACAAACACAGGGGTAGGGCAAGCTTCAAGGCAAGGTCTCCAATCAGATTGCCTTGGCTGGTTTGTGGCAGTATAGGCACTCGGGCAGTGGAACACATCTCCCTCTGGCCACAGTGCCGGTGATCATCATGGTGCAATGTGCTTCCTCAGGGCACCTTTTTCCAAGCATGTACTTCATGGCTGGCTTGAATGTTGATACGGGAGATGCACTGCATCGTTCAATACTGTCAAGTGGCTCATAAGACATTGAGCGATGCACTGGGGGACCTACTGTTGCTGATGGTTCAACAGACCAATAGATGAGAGAAGAACAGCCCAGCACTGCCCTGGCTCATTATCAACAGTTACCAATATAACTAATGTGCAATGTGCTTCCTCAGGGCACCTTTTTCCAAGCATGTACTTCATGGCTGGCTTGAATGTTGATACGGGAGATGCACTGCATCGTTCAATACTGTCAAGTGGCTCATAAGACATTGAGCGATGCACTGGGGGACCTACTGTTGCTGATGGTTCAACAGACCAATAGATGAGAGAAGAACAGCCCAGCACTGCCCTGGCTCATTATCAACAGTTACCATTCAGCTGAATATAGTCTTGGGGAAGTGCACAGCCTGTGAGAAGTGGGCAGCACATTTGACACCTTCTGTGTGATATTTTCAGAGTCCCTTGACTGCAACGATGGGTGGCACTTAAAACCTCATATTTGTTGTCCCAGATTCACCATGCAAAGAATGTGCTGCATCAATAAGGGACAAACAAAAGGGGATCGCAAGCAATAAAATCAACCAGACATGGACAACCATGGAGATAGCACCAACATGAATTGGAACCGTTGCAATCATAAATGAACAACAACACAACTTGTTAGTGAATGGGTTATGGTACGAAGTAGGTTCATAATGCACGTTGCACTTGTCACTATGGATCTGATTACTATCAATCACATCATGAGCACCATGGGCTTCTAGAATATTGTAAGTTACCTCTTCACACAAAAAAAAGCCGAAGACCGAAGGGATTACCACCACCAACAACAATTGGGAAGGGGCGGTAAATGGTGTGGGCTACAAAAAGCCTTGAGAGACAACCCAATTCAATGAACAGATGTGCCAGCTCCAATTTGTGTCAGCAATTGCACGACATCACGCCCAAATTTTCATCTAGATATACACACATGACCAATGACATGAATTGCTTGTGTTGATCACCCAAAGATCTCTCCTGTTCCTTGCAGCTCACCTGTGTTTGCCAAATGATCTGGCATGTCTTGGACTGCCTTGGTCGTGTCGTGGACCACCTTGTTCGGGTTGTGTTGCTCATAGGCAGACAGGCGTTGCTCGCACTCTGAAGCCAGCTCCAGAACTGCAGACGGCCCTGGCCGCCCTTTGAACACGCCATGCACCGCCATCTGCACCGTTGACTGGTACTCAAAATTCTCGAGTTGTCGGGTGCCCTCTTCTATCACTCCCAGCAGTTCTGACAGCTCCTCAAACCGACTCACGGCCCGCACCTGCACACCCCGCTGCAGCGTCTCCACGGTGAGCTCCGCGACTCGCGCGAGCCTGGTTCGCGCCGGCTGGAGGTTGTCCACTTCAGGCTCGACTTTCCCCGCCACTTCCAGGGCGCAGCCCAGCACTGAGAGCGCCGGGCCGACGACGGGCGGGGCGCCCAGCCCGTCCTTTGCAGTCTCCGCAGCGCTGTTCAGCACGGTCACGAGTGAATGGGCAGTGGCCAACTGATACGCGCGAAGGGGCCATCCCGCTGGTTGTCGCTCCTGCAAATTTTCGAGTCCCCCACCGGCGGCCCTACCACCCTTGAGCAGATCGATCCAAGGGCACACCCGCCACCGCAGCGCGGCCACCCACTGAGCCGCAGTGTCGGCGCTCTCCGCCCTGAACTCCTGCCTGTCCTCTCCGAGCTGCACCGCCCACTCGCGCTCCCCCTCCGTGTAGATCACTTCCGTGTGGCCCCGCACCAGCGCCATGCTGTGCCCCTTGCCCACCCAGGCCTTCGTGTCCTTGGGCAGGCCTCCGTCGCCCTTCGCGCTGATCCACCTGAGATCCATGCGAGCCAGCAGGTTCACGCGCATCCATCGACTGGAGCGCAGCGACCAGACCTCCACGCACCCGGCATCGGGGGCCATCAATGTCCGCAGCGCATCTTGTGCGGTCTCTCCATCTGTGGCCTCGCCGGCGGCGGCCATCGCCTAAGGCGGTCCTGCGGCCAGCGCCGGGAAGGCCTTATCGACAGGGTTGGGATTCAGACCTGAGAGCCAACAGCACACCTCCGCTGAGAACCGAGACGCCGTTCCGAGCGGTATTCCGCGTCAGCACTGGCGTAGAGGAGAGGGAAGGAGCGAAGGGAGGATCGGGGGCAGGGTGCTCCCTGACCCCTCCACTGCGAACGCATTGAGCATCACGCAGAGTGGAGGCACCGAGAGCCGAACGACAGTCAACACTGGCCCCTTCCAGCATGCCAGGATCGAAATGCGATGCAAGGGCAAGCCCAGGTGGCGAGGTGTGAGAACGCCACGCCACGCCTCGAGTCGCCACCGGCAGCATCGCCGATGCGCACAGAGGGCTGCCACCGGAGCGCTGCGTGAACACCCTGAGCTGGGACTTCCACAAGGACGATGTGGTCACGACAGACCGGCCTCGACATTGGGGCCGCCACTTCGAACAGCACGGCTCCGACATATCCGAGAACCCGGAGAACCAGTCCGCAAATACTGCGGCCATTCCCAATCTATCTGTGCTTCACCAGCATCCGCGCCAGCGGCCATCTGCGGCGCACACCCACAACAACGTCCAGCGCGCGTCCAGGCTCAGCCCCAAGCGCCGTGATGGGCTGCAGGCCAGGCGCCTGCCGATTGCTCACTCACCGACCTTCCGCCACTGTTGGCTTCAAGAGGGATCGGCGCCCGTCTGGCAGCCGCGCGCAAGCGAGCCCGCGCGGTGGTCGACGTCCCGCCGCGGGACCTTGAGGCCGCGCTCTGACGCCCCCGCCCGGAAGCAGCGGCGGCTGTAGACGATGCGCTGCGCCGCCTCCGAAGAGGTCGAGTGACGCGCGAGGGCACTTCTTGTTGAAGGCGATCTGCCCGGATGACGCAGTTGCTGAGTGGGCAACGGAAACATGGTGACCGCATGGCTGTCCATCCTGGTGTGTCAACTCAGCGGGTCGCAGCCGGGTTGCAGGAGGACCCCACTCGCGGATGCTGCGGCACCTCCAGAAGGGTTGAGTGACGCGTGCGGGCTCCTGGCTTCTTGGGGGCGGCCTGCGGTTTAGCTGACGAGCCACATCAGAAAACAGGTCGCGATGTCTCACACCGCGCCCGCAGCCCACCGGAAGCGGCGCACTGTCCACACATTTTCTGCACTGTCCACTTGCACAACCACAGGTGCGCGGATGGCGAATCTGCCAGCGCGATCCTGACTCCGCACTGATCTGGCGCACGTAAACCCCCTGTCAGTGGGGTCGATCCTTACATGAGCAAGCTGACTCGAAGTCTACCACAAGCTTCATTAACGGCGCTCCAAGCTGGGTTGCCAGCCCATAACGCTAGATCACATCGGCCAGTTGTCCCCGCTGTTCGGGTCACCAATAAATGGGGTCATCAAAATATCATTCATAATTTAAAAAAATTTAGGGATATCACTCAGCTGGCGACCGGTGAGGTCCAGAAATGATGTAGAGGGGATGTCGACAGCCTCAGCACCTTGCGTCACACTGATTGTCATCCAGTAGGTTGGCGCTCAATGAGGCAGAAAACCCAGAATATCAACCTGGGGTGCTCCAGAATTTTGTAGTAACCCAAGCCCAAGGCACTCAGAATGCAAGGAGATGACTTCCGTGACAAAGAGAGACCACGGCAGCCTCACTAGATGCCCAAAGAACCCAAAGCAATGCAGTTGTGATGCCGGACACAGCTCCAGTGCGTGGCAGCGTGTCACGGGTGTCAGAAGCACATAGATCGCCGTTGGGCACGTGCGTTTGCTTTGGCAAGGTATACAGCCGTGCGTGGCCGGGCGCACTGGACGCAGAAAGGCTTGGCGAGTCGGGCTGCGTCGGTTTTTCCGAGCAATGCCCGTTGATCGAGCCGGGATGGCCGTGGCTGGCCATGGTGCTGCCGATGCGGGATGGCAGCCACACGGCCGAATCGCCGATTGATATTGATCGAGGTCGAAGTTGCTTGGTGGTTTTCTGGCGAACGGGCAGGCCTTTCCACCAGCGTGGTTGGCTATGTGATGGAGCGCCGTGAGTTTGAGCGAGCGCTGCCGCCGTGGATGTGCGGAACGGGAGGTCGTGGGGCTGATGCGAGAGGCATGCAAATGTACTGCAGCTGGATTTGTCATCCTGGCATGGTGCTGGAGAATTCTGGCATGTTGTGGCATGCAAGCTACTCAGAACTGTGCCCCTAGCTCAGAGCAAGATGGTTTGTCACGGAAGGTTGGGTGCCATTAGTCAGAAAATAGGTCTTGTGAAAGCTGGTCGAACTAGGATTTGAAGGGATCAATCAGTTGCAAATACTACTCTCAACATGCTGTTACTATCCCAAGGTATGTAGAGGTGTTTTAAATAAATCATTTGCAAAAGATTTCACATCAAACAGACCCTTAGTGAACAAGATATGACATTTTATGTGTGGTGGTGCAGTTTTGGATGGAGGGGGGTTGCCCCCTGTGCGACCTGCCATAGCGCGCGGTGAGACGGGGTCAGGAGGGGCGCGCGGAGGCGCCACGTAGCTTTCGATGGGAATACGGCACCGTGGGGCACTCCCCGGCCAGGAAGTGGGGCGCACCGGTGTTCTGCTGGCTTGTTCTGAATGTTGTGTGCAAAGATGCAAGCATTGATTCATGAGTTCATTTGCTTATGTAGATAGTTGCATGCATTTGTGTCTGCTGAAAACAGAGCAGCACAAACAGCAGCCTAAATGTTGGCTTTTGTTTTGTTGGCTTTGAGCAATGTTGTGCTTGTGTTGGGTCGCAGGCCCGCACAGTGCCTGAAGAAGATGATGAACTCGCGGAGTTCTTGTTGGACACAGACATGACAGAGATGAGCTTTGAGGTGGCGCGGTGCAGGTGGGATGCCCCAGCATGGTCTTGGTATTTTGGTTGGGAAATCCCATCATCGTCCATGGCGATGCAATACCACATCTGGGATCTGCCATTGCCACCAATCCTGTCCAGTGGCCAGTGGCCAGTGCCCATCTCGGGTTTGAATGCAGTCTGAGACAAAGCCACGACGGGCACTCCGCTGTTTTGGGACAAATTGGTTTTAGACTCAGTACATTGAAGTACTTGCTTGCACCTCTTTTCCTCATAGGGTGAAAGGGTGGGCTCCTCAGGAATGCTCCTGAAAATTTCTTCAAGAAAATGCAGCACAGTTCAGTAAAATGTCCACGAAAATAAAGTACGGCCTGGACACCTGGACGGCCTGGATGCCTGGGCGTTCATGATGAATGCTGGGGAACATGAAACCAAAGCTCGGGCCATGACCAAGAAGTCCTGGTCGTTGGCTGAGCTCCTGCTTTGCCTGCTGTCCAAGCCCAGGCTGACGCCAAGCTTCTTCAAGCACCTCGACAAGGTGATTGGGATGTAGAGCTTCGGCGCGAAGCCAAATCAGGACAGGCTGGCGGAACGGGACAGCCTCAGAGAGTATCTGCAGGTGAGAATGAACAAACAGCCTAACAGGCAACGTGAAAATCGACGCATTGGTCGTATCACGTATCTCTGCCAAACTCAGATCGTTATCTGCACGTGAGAATTGTGGCTCACCTGTCAGCAGCCCTTTCTTTGCTTGCTTCCTTCACGTGCTGCTTGCGAGGGTGAGGAAGTAAAGTGAGCAGTTGTGGGGGAAATGGTACTGGCTACACACTGGGAACATGGTGGTGAAAAATGGTGAAATGGATGTGGATATGATTGGTAAGCGAGAATGTTTACTGCAAGTACTGTTTGACTGGTTTGCTTGGCTTGTGGCGCATCTGGTTACGGCTTGGGTTCCCGTGCCCAGGCCTGGCATCGACCGTGTCAGCATTCTTGGTTGTCGTTTCGCTGTTTGTTGCTACAATTGATGTCTTTTGTTACATTTGGTTTGATATTGTCTTTTTTGTGTTTGCCTTTTCTATTTCGGAATGCTGCATCACAATTGGCAGTGTAGGCGCCGACCCGCTTGAATGATGGCAGTGGGAAGCCTGCCTAGTGCTATTGGGACGCTTGTTGGAATTCTGGCTGGCACTTTGGCTGGTCGCTGTGGTACCTGCTGATATCGGGCTATATTGCAACAATCGCTGAGTTCCCTTCAAGGGGCACGCCAAGGCGTTGAAAGAAGTCAAACTGTCAAGATGGCTAATATGCCAGTGCACAACACCAACTTGTGATGCTAAGACGCAAGTTCCTAAATGATGCTGTACTGGCTCAGTCTGATCAGAGGCGCTGCTGGTCAGACCAGAATAAATCATCGATTTTTTATCATTGAGTTGCAAATGAAGCGATTCTGTTGACAATCGATTCATCTCATGAACAGATCAGATCAGAGCCAATTTAA